AATACAGTATTGTGACTACTATTACTAAATAAAGCAACCAATCAACATAAGACAAATTCGAAATAATTATAAATGTTACTCAAAAACTTGTGAATGATTGGATAATGCATCAAATGCATTTTAAAAGTGTGAGAAATATGATCGTATTTGAACTAATTAACAGAATATATGCAATAAATCACACAGTTAAAAAATTAAAATTAGAAACTTTTGTTCTCAAAAATTAGTGAGTATCGCTTTACATTTTTGTAGTTCATAACATTGTAGTTAGCCCGTTTGATGCTTAACTATAGTAATTGGCAGCACTTACTGACAATGATTAATACTAGCGCTAGTGTTACAATGTATAGAGAATCTTATAAACTTACTGTTAATTAACAAGAAATTAAAGTTTATACGATTTGTGGAAATCCTAAAATTTTTTAAATTTTTTTTTTTTTTGGGTATTAAAGTTGCAGATTATAATTTGCTGAATTTTTATTCCTCTTACTAATTTTGTAATTTGGTACATCTTAGAAAAAGTATAAAATTTTAAGGCACATGTGGCTTTTACTTTACAGTACTGGTATTTTTCATTATTAATAATGCTTTCTCATTATGATTTACGTTCCTGGTTTGCGTGATTACATCACGCAGCTATCTAGTTAATTAATTTAAATTACAGTAGTAATACTTATGATTAGATAATCATTGTTCAATAAAGTCCATTGCGAAAGATTCTTAATTTTTAATTTTTTTTTTTTGCTATTCGACCAGGCTTTATTTATTAATTGCTTATATCATTTACTTTCTCGGTTCAATTGTATCTATGTGATTATGAACTGAAATATAACTATATTTCATACACACTTATCATATAATTATTGCATCATTTTAAAATAAGCATCAATATTTAAATTCAAATAATGAATTTAACAAATTGTAAGAATTTTTTTTTAATCTACCAACTGACCTCAACAAAACTATTCAATTTAATCAGCTTTTTTTTTATTTTTATTTTTTTTTTATTTTTATTTTTTTATTTTTTTTTTATTTTTTATTTTTTTTTTTATTTTTTTATTTTATTTTATTTTTATTTATTTATTTTTTATTTATTTTTTATTTTTATTTATTTATTAATTTTTTTGTTATTGTAAAATAATCGTTGCATCTATAAAAGATAAGAAAGAAGTATTTAGTAGGTAAAAAATATAGTTTACATTAAATTCATTTTATTATTATCACAAAAAAAGACTAATTTACCTGACACAACAATTAGATAAAAAGATTATGCGCAATCGCTTCCAAAAAATCTATTAATGAGTAGTTATTCCGATCATTGATGATAGCCATTATTCTTTTCTCTCTTTCGAACAAACTCCACTTTTGCTTAGGATGAGGTTCACTATAAAAAGTACATTCAACTTGGGTCTCCACCAATAATTGTTCCCTTTGCATTTCCTGAATTATTGAAAAAACACTTACATGAGATCCGCCAACCAACGTTGCCCAACAGTTGTGCTATCCTTCAATAGCATTTTGGGTTCTCGGAATGCCTAAATCAACTGAATCATGTACTGACCATAATTTAGGTAGGAAAAGAGGTGAACTATGAATTTCACGGCCACCTCTTGTTTCTTGCCTGATTTCACCAAGTATGTACGTTTCCTCAAACCATAGAACCAGTTTATGTGCTTCTTGAGGTAAGTGTGGTTTCAAAATAGTAAAAA